CAAGAAATCGCACGGCAAAGAGACGAATCATTACAGACAATTATGAACGCAAAACAAAGAGATAGTAAAATCTTTCACAAACTAGTTAATGCGCAGAGGAAGTCGAAAACAAATGGCATCTCAGATCTTTGTGTAGAAGATAAAACCTATTCTACAAGAGAAGAGATGCTCCAAGGCTGGAATGAGCATTTTAGCAAGCTTGCAACACCTGAAACTGCTGATCTCAAATCTGATTATACCAACAAAAAACTTGATATTGATATCATGGAAGAAATCTGCAAAGAAAATGCGGAACCCCTGGTCTTTACATCAGAAGAAGTTGACAAAGCTATAAACCAGCTTTGACCTATAAAGGTTTACTTTTATAAATTTTGACTTGGATGGAGAGTTGTCTCATTGGCACTCATACCACATCTTCTTATATCTATTAACACCAACAAAGCGCCAGATATATATGGCATAACAGCAGAACACATTAGATATGGCGGCGATGCTTTACTACAAGGAATTACCTCAATAATTAACAACATATGCAAGGAAGCCTCAGTTCCAGATTGCCTAAAACATGGAATACTAACCCCAATCTTCAAAAATAAAGGGTTACCAACAGATGCAAAAAAAATTACCGTGGTATCACTGTACTCCCAATCATCGGGGAAATACTAGAAATACTTCTCAGACAACTGATCAGTGATATCATTGAAATTCTCCAAAATCGTCTTCAAAGGGGCTTTACCCCAGGAGTTTCTCCACTATACAGTGCTCTCATACTATTAGAATCAATTGCAGAATCCATGGACCAAAAATTACCCGTCTTTGTAACTCTACTGGATGCTAAGGCTGTCAACCACGATAGCATGCATCGTAAACTCTTCTTATCAGGAGTAGGTGGAACACTCGATCTGGCTCTTAATACGCCAACTTAGTACTTATGCCATAACCTCCATCAAATGGAATGGTTTAATATCAAATCCATTCCCTGTTCACCAAGGAGTAAGACAAGATGGAATACTCAGCACCGAACTCTATAAAGTATATAAATGACATTCTGGACCAACTGGAAAATAGCGGTCTCGGTTCTTACATTGGGAATATATATTGTGGTTTGCCAACCTGCGCTGATGATGTTGCCCTGGTTGCAAATTCATCTTCAGATCTCCAGTCAATGATAAGTACGATTATTACTTACAGATGTTGGTATTCTGATTTTCTGCTGTCATATTCTCTTGACTGCTCATCTTCCTTCATCTCTGAATCCCTGTCGCTCTCTGCCGGTGCTTTGATGTCTTCAGATGGTTTCAACCTTCACCAGATGTTTCGACACTGTACCATTACATCCTCCGGTTGGCGGGTCAGTAGAGGTGGCCAAACCTCTACTCATCAGCACTCTGCTCCCAGCTCAGATCATCTCGGCGATGCCATAACCAGCAAGATGAACGGTCTGCTGCTTCCCCTAGCTGTCTTACTGCTGTTTTTCTTGCCTTTCCGACTATTCCCATTGCATGTAGCATCCTCCATACTGACTGTGCAGGAAAACCTCTGCAGCCTACTTCTACTAGGAACAGCCACGCTTTCTAATCTCTCTCTCTCTACATGTTGTCATCAGCCCTGTGTACTTTTCCTTCTTCCGCTGGTATGCCTCTTCACATCTCTCTTCCCAAGGAACTGTCAGTTCTATTGCAACTATCATCTTTGACGACTGTGACCAAACTACAATGTCTGGGCGTAGGGTTGTCTGTACGCATTCTGGAAACACAAGCTTCTTGCCAATGTCAGCCCTCATGTTCCATTCACTGCCCTTGTCCAAGATGAAGTGCTGTTGTGACTTTATTGCATGTCCCGTATCTCCTTCTCTGACGAATCTGATCTGATTTGCCTCTGTTTTTGATGGTCTCTTCTTTCTTCTCTAAATATCAAGGATCTCTGCCAGATGTTTTAGGACCTTGTCGAGCCGCCATCGATATCTTCCCTGTGTCAGAGCAACCTTGCAGCCTGAAAGTATATGTGCCATAGTGCCTCTTTCACCACATAACTTGCAGCTTGGTTCTTTTATCAGTCCCCACTGGTGTAAGTTTGAAGGGGAAGAAAATACTGCTTTTGTCCTTCTTTGTTCTTCTTCTACTGTTCTTATTTCTGACTGCACCACGCTGCTCTTCTCTTTTGGTGTTGCCTTTGACCACTGTTGGAAATGTGTCATTCCTAAGCCTTGTCTACCAGTACAGGTGTTGCCAACTATGTCTTTGTGATGAAGAATACTTTCTGCTTGATCTACTGCAGTTCTTGCTGACCATTTCCGCCCAGTACGTGTCTGGATTCCAGCCTTACTGATCTTGCTATCCTTTGAGTCTCTGAGAGTCATAACAAGTCAGCTCTTTGATACCTTGTATTCCTCCAAAGTTTATGTTAAAGGTAGCTGGAGTTGTGATGATCTACTGTAAAGACCTATGGCTGTAAAACTTGGTGGTACTCCTAGCCATCTTCTGAGGTGACTGTTTATCTTTCTTTCTATGGCTTCGACTGTTGTTGCTGTCATTTCGTAGATCATGAGAAGCCATGTCAGTCTTGGTAACAGCCCATGTTGGTATATCCAAGCCTTAAACTTCCCAGGCAATCCACTCTTATCTACCTTCTTAAGCCATTCTACAACCTGAGTTTGTACTGTCTTCACACTGGTATTGTCTTTAAGGGTATCATCAACTCATTTTCCAAGGCATTTTATAGGGTTGTCTACTATTGTTGGTATTTCGTCCCCTTGGATCTTAATGCTGGAAATTCGTTGTTATCTGACCCTTTCTCAGTATCATTGATCTTGACTTCCTTGGCTTAAATTTCATTCTGGCCCAAGTAACTACCTCTTCCAGTGCTGACAGTATCCATCTTGCTTGAATATGGAATGAAGTTGTTACTGTAAGGTCATCCATGAACCCTCTTGTTGCTGGTAAAAAAAATCCCTGAATCTGACTTTGGACCTCTTGTTTCTCTTTCTGCTGCCTTCATGATGATATTCATACTCATAATGAATAGTATCGGTGAGATGGTACAAGCCGTAACTATTCCTTTCTCTAACTTCTGCCATGCTGTGGTCTTGTTATCTACGGTAAATCGCAGCTGTATTCCACCAAAATATTTTTACAGTTGAAAACTACAGTATTCATAAAAAATACAAACTCCAACCAACCAAGAGCATTGTACTGAAAAATGTGACCTCCTCAAAAAATACAGACTTCGAATTTGAGATCAATGAGACAGCAATATTTCAGCCAAGTTCAGCTCCTCATATAGGAATTAAACACAGCTCTGACTTAAAGAAAACAATCAACATTCATATTGAAGGAAATATCTCTAAAGCCAGACGAACAATGTATAGCCTGATGGGGGCTGGACTTCATGGAAAGAATGGGCTCAACCCAATTACTTGTCTACACATCTTTCAAATATATATCCTACCTGTTCTTATTTATGGACTAGATATATTACTTCCAGACAAAAAACACATAGAGCCACTAGAAGTATTCTATAGGAAAGCAATCAAACAAATCATATAATTGCCAAACAACACTGCAGATGCAGCTGTCTATACTATGACAGGAGTCATTCCAATACAAGGAACTATACATAAAGCTGTCATAAATATCTACAACAAAATATGTGGCATGGAATCCTCAATAGAAAAGGACCTAGCTGAACGGCAACTACTTATGTCTGGTTTCAACTCTCAAAGCTGGTTCTCAAAAGCAAGATGCATTCTAGCGCAATACAAGCTACCTTCAGCTCATGATCTAATGCTCAATCCGGTCAATAAAAATCGATGGAAAACACAAGTCAAAAAAGCAGTTGACAGTGTCTGGCATGATCAATTAAGAACAAAAGTATTCCTATATAGTTCTCTCAATTATCTATCCACTAATAATATACTCTGGCGAAACACCTATCCTTGTCTTGCAAGTGTTGGCACATCATCTCAGGATATAAGTCGTCTTCAAACAAAACTAAAGCTTCTAACAGGAACCTACTATTTTCAAAGCAACAATTAAAGCTTCATTTAATCAAAATGCTGTAGATCCAACCTGCTTACTGTGCAAAGAATCCGCAGAAACGGTAGATCACTTCCTTCTTGAATGTAAGACTTTGCATGATACCCGCATACCATACCTGCATGAACTGGAAAGCTTTCTTCGTAGCTTTAGAAACTGTACTAAATGCTCAAATCTTACCAACATTGTAATAGACGCACAGCTCATTTTAGATCCGAGTTACTCGCTATGTGCTTGTGGTTGTAGATGCAAATGCACTGACAATTGCTTTATGGTAGAATATATAACCAGAAAACTGTGCTATGCTTTGCATGCTCAAAGAAATGAACTCTTAAAGACCTTCCCGTCCAGCAAGCGTAAAGGTCAGCGACTGTAGCCAATGTACACCCCACGGGGCGTACATTTATTTTTATTTTTTATATTCACAAACCAAGTGTGTATAGACTTCTTGAAAAACTTATTCATTACGAAGTGCTCCTTTGAAGGAGGGATTTCCTAATACAGATACAGAAACAGATAGGCGGTACTCATTACGTTTTCGGAATTACACCACCACTTTCAAAAATCCTGGATCCGCCCCTGTTTTTGTATTTCAACAATATCTCAGGGGCATATAAACGTATTTACACTTTTGGTACTTAGCTATATTTTGCCTCCGAATGACCTTAGATCTACTCCGAATCACCTTTTGACGTCAGGCAACAATCACTTTTTGATTGTGACGTCAAATGTTTTGAATTATGATGTCAAAGTTTACGGGAACCTGTGTGATTTTACGTAATGGCGGACAAATTTGCATACAAGTGTAAATACGTCTATTGCTGACTAAGTCGAATACCCAAACGCGTCGTTAGTTTCATATTGCGTAATCCGAATAATTCATGCCATACACGTAACCGATACAATTAAACTGGAATCCGTTTGTATTAACGCTTCGCTCAAACAAAGTGTAGTAGTCAATCGAGAACCAGCTTATGATACATGTACTGATTCATTGTGCGCAATATATATGATATTTCTACCTTTCAAGTAAGTTTGTGAAAAATGTAGTCGTAACATATCCCTCGTTATAAAAAAATGAAGTGTCAAAAGATACTCAATGATTTTGTTGAAACGATTAACAGTCATAAAAGAGAGGCAAAAGATGCATAACAAATGGCAATGTGACGCACCGGGTATATTTTTATACGACCGCAAAATTTTTTTGGGATCGTATAATGGTATGATGTCGTCGTCCGAAGACACATTGGTTTCCGGACAATAACTTTAGTTTAAGTGAATGGATCTCAATGAAATTTTTTTAAGAAGGTTCAATACCACAAAAGGAAGGTTGGGATACACCTTATCGCTATTTGTCCGCCATTACTGGACATCACAAAAGTTCCCCTAAAATTTTGACGTCATAATAGAAAATATCTGACGCCACAATGGAAAAGTGATTGTTGTATGACGTCAAAAGTTCAAGCGGGATAGATTCTCGGGTCAAGCGGGAATAGCGATAATTAAAGTGTATTGATTTTTGGGATGATGGTCCAAACCGTTTAGGAATTAGGGCCCAAAAAGGGGCCCAAAACAAGCATTTTTCTAGTTTCAGGATAATATCTTGTGACGTATTTTGATTGCTCTGAAATTGTACCACAATGTTTAATACCACGAGTAGAAGGTTGGAATTCATTTTAGGGTTATTGGGCCAACAGTTTAGGAATTAAGGGCCAAAAAGGGGCCAAAAACAAGCATTTTTCTAGTTTCCAGACAATAACTTGTGTGTAAGTGTATGGATCTCTCTGAAATTGTACTACAACATGTTAAAGACAACATTTCCCCTGCATGGCTGCAGACACCATGACTGAAATATCATCAGGATAAAAGTCAACAGCAGAGTTCTCGAAACATTTTTTTGCCTGGTGGTCCATGAAGAAAATATGAAGGTCCTCACTATCATTCTATTGCAAATTACCAAAATTGTGTTGGTCCTTCCCAAAAATGTGGTGGTCAAATCCCTAGGACCACCACTTATCGAGAACTCTGCAACAGCCTTCAAAAATCCTACTGTCAACTCCTACCTTTGCCAACTCTGTCTCAACCAACTCATACTTTTACCAACTTTTACTACCACCAACTGTGACGTACCAAATTTTCAGTTGTATTCAAATACAATATAGTATTTATTTTCTATCGTATAAATTTTGTATAAGATGAGTGTGTTCAGTGTACGATGGACCTAAAAGCTTATTGAATTGGGTTTTATTTTAGAAAAACATGGAGAAGTTTATAAAAAGAAAAATATTGGAATAAATGCATTAATTTGAATATAAAAGTCCATTCATTGAGGTGTAACTTTAACAATCACTATTTTCGTTAAAAAGAAAAATATGGGTACCATGATTTCCAGAGAACTCACAAGAACTGAATATTGACCTGAGAACCGACAAATGTTACCCGAAAACTTTACTTTATATGGTTTTATATTGCATTTATATATATAAGTATATAATTTGAGCTATAAGTCATTTTTAATCTAAGTATAGAATTTGAGCTATAATAATAAGTCATTTTTACTCAAATAAAAGTATAATTTCACTTCAAAAATCCAATTTGTGTGTTTTGTATACAAGTTCCTTGCACAACGATATATGGCAGACATGATTATTCAAAAGGTAACTAAATAAAAAGAGTAAAAAAGTTCCTAATTATTAGTTTCGTTAATAATGGAAATTTGAAAAGTTAATACATCATTTGTAAGACTTAAATTAAAAAAAAATATGATTAATACTTTTTATACTTTTATTTATCTAGATAGAGTTATATACCTTTTGAATATTTATGTCCACTATATTGTTATCCACACGGAACTTGCATACGAGACACACAAATCGAATTCATGATGTGAAAACAGTATAACACCATATTAAATAAAGATTTTGGGTAACATTCACGTGTCAATAATTAGGTCTCCGAAAATCGTGGGTACCAAAAAAATATGGCTTTTTGACATTTTAAATTTAGTAAAATTCATTGAATGTTTTGTTATTATTATCAGTTAAGTATTTAATATCAATCTATGATCATTTGAAATTAGTTCAACTCATGTAGTAGCTTTATCATATTAAAAAACTATGAAGTCCTCAGAGATAAACTAAAACAAACTTCTTCAACACACACCCAGTGAAAAAATCAGTAAAAAAATTAATATTCCAAAATTTTCTTCAGATTTCAAGCTCAAGATGCATGAAGTGCCTTGTTTACCAAAAAGGAGAAAACTAATGAATGTTACTTCTCATTTAAAGAGATTTAAACAAAGGTCTCGGACATGATCAATTGTGAAATACAAAATTACCATTAAGTGTCAATTTATCTAATTAAATCATACATAAAAATGCTACGAAAATGGGTACCAGTTGGTAGAAGTACGAGTTGGTCGAATACGAATTGGCAAAGGTAAGAGTTGTTGTGTACCCCACCGCCATTGGTCTATCTCACTATATGTCAACTGTGGATTATTCCTGAATTGAGGTACATGTATAATCCACCAATTAATGGTTATTTCTGACCTAATGAAATTATGGCATATGGCCATGGAACATTTATTTTGATGAAGTATTTCCTGTCTTTGAGTAATTTATCAACGTACATAAAATTGAGAATGGAAATGGGGAATGTGTCAAAGAGACAACGACCCGACCATAGAGCAGACAACAGCCGAAGGCCACTAATGGGTCTTCAATGCAGCGAGAAACTCCCGCACCCGGAGGCGTCCTTCAGCTGGCCCCTATTTATAATTGCACCACATTGTGAAGATTTTACCTAAAACACTAATTGCTAAAATTAGCCTACTATCTGACTTTGAATTTTATTAGTCCCCTACCGACGAAGTCGAAGGGGACTTTAGGTTTGCACACGGTCTGTCTGTCTGTCCATCCGTCAGTCCGGCAAATCAGTTTTCAACACTATTTTTTCTTTGTCCTTGAAGATATTGATTTGATATTTGGTGTATTGTTTTATCATGACAGATCAAGTTCGAATTTTGTTCCGGTTTGATGATTTTGTGCAGAGTTATGGTCCTTGGACTTAGAAAATTCACTCAAATAATCAGTTTTCTGCACTTTTTTTGTCATGCTTGAATATATTGAATTGATAATTGGTGCATAGTTTCATTATGACAAGTTACAGATCAAGTTTGAATTTTGTTCCAGTCTGATCATTTTGTGCAGAGTTATGGTCCATGGACATAGAAAATTCACTTAAACATGTTAAATAATCAGTTTTCCACACTTTTTATACGACCGCAAAAAAAATTTTGTGGTCGTATATTGGTATGACGTATTAGTTTTCGCACTCTAACTTTAGTTTAAGTGAATGGATCTCTATGAAATTTTACCATGAGGTTCAATACCACAAAAGGAAGGTGGGGATTGATTTTGGGGGTTATGGTACCAACAGTTAAGGAATTAGGGGCCAAAAAGGGGCCAAAAATAAGCATTTTCTAGTTTCCAGACAATAACTGTGGAATGGTGTATGGATCTCTCTGAAATTATACTACAAGTTCCCATACCACAAAGGGATGGTTAGGATTTGCTTTGGGGGGTTATGGCTCAAACCGTTTAAGAATTAGGGGCAAAAAAGGGGGAAAAACAAGGTTGTCCTGGTTAATGGACAAATACTTTAGTACAAAACATAATTTAAAGCAGTGTAAGGGAGATAAATCAAATACATCATTGAAATTATCTCCCTTACACTGCTTTTAAATTATGTATAAAGTAATGGTTAATGAACAATTAAGATAATTTAAAACAGTGTAAGAGAGGTAATCCAAATACAACGTTTTGGTTACTTCCCTTACACTGCTTTTAAATTATGTTTAAAGAAATGCATATTTATAAAGGAAGACCAGTAAAAATATCTGCAAATGTTGCATCTTTTTTTTTCACAAAAAAATCCATATGAAAGATTTGACACTATATTTTAAATTCTTTTATAAAATAGATTAAGTTAGCACTATGGTAAATTTAAATGGATAATTATGGTTGCAAACTCCATTGGAAATTTGAATTGAGATTATGACCATATCTTGAGGGAAAGAATTTTTTTGGGGAAAAAAGGGGGGGGGGGGGGGGGTAAAAAGAAATTGTGGGGGGTCAATTTTTTCTCATTTCAGATTTCAGAAATTAAAAAGAATTATTCTTCAAATATTATTTTTTTTTCAAATTTCAAATATTGAAAAATTTCAAGAAGTAATCTTTAATTGCACAGTATGGCGCATTAGATTTGTAAAATCTTTGACCACATTTAATTATTTGTTATGCCGAATCTAACCGTGTATTTAGATTTTTAATTTTGGGTCCAGTTTTCAAATTGGTCTACATAAAGGTCCAAAGGGTTCAAAATTAAACTTTGTTTGATTTTAACAAAAAATGAATATATGGGGTTCTTTGATATGCTGAATCTAAACATGTATTTACATTTTTGATTTTTGGCCCAGTTTTCAAGTTGGTTCAAATTGGGGTCCAAAATTAAACTTTGATTTCAACAAAAATTGAATATATGGGGTTCTTTGATATGCTGAATCTAAAAATGTATTTAGATTTTTTATTTGTGGACCCCGCTATCAAATTGGTTCATATTGAGGTCAAAAGGGTCCAAAATTAAACTTTGTTTGATTTCATCAAAAATTGAATTATTGGGGTTCTTTGATATGCCAAATCTAACCGTGTATTTAGATTTTTAATTTTGGGTCCCGTTTTTTAAATTGGTCTACATTAAGGTCCAAAGGGTCCAAAATTAAACTTAGTTTGATTTTAACAAAAATTGAATTCTTGGGGTTCTTTGATATGCTGAATCTAAACATGTGTTTAGATTTTTGATTATGGGCCCAGTTTTCAAGTTGGTCCAAGTTGGGGTCCAAAATTAAACTTTGTTTGATTTCAACAAAAATTGAATATATCGGGTTCTTTGATATGCTGAATCTAAACATGTATTTAGATTTTAGATTTTTGGCCCAGTTTTCAAGTTGGTCCAAATTGGGGTCCAAA